CACTAAAAATTAAACTTTTTATGCAAAGTTCGTTCAATTTAAAAAAAAAAAAAAAAGAACCCCCTGAAATACAAATTTGAATCCTGCACACAGTATTTTTCTCTTTTTCATTTTCTTATTCCTATGTTATCTTGGCAAGTGTTTTCATTGATGCATTGTTATATATATGCAAGTTTATGACATATATATGTGCATTTAATTCTTGTTATACTTAAATACTAGGTTGTCAAGTTATAAAAAGAGTCCAATGTTTTAAATTCGGTTCTGCCTGAAAAAAAAAGTTTAATAACGTATGACGTAACAAACATAATGTCCTGTCTACCTTATTTCTTTCGCTAATGCTTCTAATTGTTATCTATTTTCTAAAAAAATAAGAAAGGAGCTTTCAAATTCATCAAATATAATTCAAGTTTGTATTGAACGAAAAATTGTTACCATTATGTAACAAAGGGCCACAAAAACATTCAAATAATCACGTGTTTACTCTTTGAAAGACACAATAGGCTGCAATTATATCATAGTGTTATATGGAAAAACTCACCCATATCTGACTTGGGACATGTAGATCCTTATGTAGAAATGTGTGGCGTAAACCTGGTTCGATAACTAATAAACCTCTCCGTTGAATGACTGTAAAAAAGTCGTTACATCAAACATTGATAGTCTAAGATATGATTTGATGTAAATGCGTATTATATAAATCTTGCACAAAAATGCAAGATTTTAATTGTCGAAACTGTAGTATAAGAATATTTAAATGCCATTTTCATGTTATTAAATTCTATGTTTTGAATATCAAATTTTAAACAATATTTGAAACGTCTTATCCTTTCATCTGTCATAATTATGTTATTTCAAGATTTAACATTGATTTGCATGTACTTTGTTTGCACGTTTGGAAATATAAATATGTCATTTTGCAGCACGAGTGAGATTGGCTTACTTTTCATACGAGTGTTATGTTGTTTTTTACAATGCGTGGACTTCCCATGTTAATAAATTGCTTTATGGCAGAAATATAACGCCGAAACATTACTTCTTAATCTGCATTGCTCAAGTTTTTTTTTAAAAGATGTTAAAACATCAGGATGTTTTCTACCTTGTCATAATTGGCCTAGTTAGATTTAGCCCATCTTTTGTGCTCGTCAAATGCTAAATTGATCATAATATCCACCTTTTTTATGAGTCTTATAAAAACAAAACACATAATTGACATACTTAATTATATGCCCATTATATTTGATCAGTTATATATGTTAAGGTATCTACGAATATGAATAAAAGAAGAACATCACAAAAACAGGAAGGGATAACACTTTCCGAAGATTTCAACTCCGATTTGGGCAAAATGTTGGTGCTCTGTGATGTATCTCCATGCCGTTTTGTTGGTTGCTCCTGTTTTTTGTGGACATGTTTTGGTCTGCTTTTGTTTTTACATATCAATGTTGATTCTCATTTTGATGGCTTCTTGTATTGAGAATGGAAACAAGTAATGTGATCCTTTTTTGAAGATATCATTTTTTCTTAATAGGACATAGTCCTATTCAGACATATAACGTTTTTGAACCTATGATTATAGAACAAAGGCTTTTCTAAGTCATAGATAACACGTTGTCTAATCCATGATTTTGGGAGGGTAAACCATTTTTTTACATGTTCTAAGTAGCCAAGAATAAAACGTGGTTCAACAAATTATATAACAAGACTTATATTTATTTGGAGTCACGCATAAAACATGCCTTAGCTTAGGTATGTTAATATTTTATGTCTGATTTTATTTTTATCACTGATACTGAAAAAGAAAACATATGCTGACCATGCGGTATGAGTTTTACTCATTGTTGAAGGCCGTCCTGTGACCTATAATTGTTACTTTTTGTGTCATTTGGTCTCTTGTGGAGAGTTGTCTTATTGGCAATCATACAACATCTTCTTATTTGTATATTAATTTTCCCTCATATCAATAAAGGGAATGTTATTATAACTCCATCGAAACAGCAATCAAATAACACATGCAATGAATAATCGACTCGGCGAACAATTAACAACACGGAGACACGGAGTCTTTACAATATGATAAACTCGGTTTATTCTTTCATTGTACTCAAAATATGAATAGATAATGAAGACCTTCTGGACTCTAATCGCAATGTGAACATGAATGTTAGTCAAAATAATGAACACATGGCGTATGCAACGTGTTTATAAGCTATGAAGCTAAAACATATGTTAGTAATTATGTACCTGCATCACACACGACATAAGGTATTGACCGTCCAATTAGCAGAAAACTGTATGTCTTATCCATAACATATTTCAATCAGATTCGAAAATTTGTTGTTCGCAAAACTATTATCAAAGAGCTGGTCCATCAGACGCATGTTTTGGCGCTAAACAAAAACCTATTTGGGCTCCAAAATAAGTACGAAGTTGAAAAGCATTACAATGACTCATGAATGTTCCATCAAAAAGCATTAAAAATGGAAAATCTATACCAAAAACGGTTAACAATATATGTCTGGTGTAGTTTGACCTCAGTGTGTTGAATAGCACTACATTTTAATACCAGTAATGTCTGGGTTATAACTGTCATTTGCAAACTGCTACAGAAAAAAGCATTTGAGGCGATTATTGAAAAGAAACAAAATCACTATATACTGAAGAAAAAAACATTTAGAAATAATCGATTTCCATATTCATAAAGTAATAGTTTACAATTTTGCTGACTCAATATTATGTGAGTGTCTGTGTGTCATAATTTCGTTTTGCATTTAGTGCAAACCAAACATAAACTATCTGTTTTAAGGGTTATAAATAACTTGTTTATTCACGATTTGTCTCATTCATTTAGAAAAAAAAATAGGTCATACCAAAAGAACAAAAACTAAAAGGTGGCAGACTTATCGTTCTACATACAAGAGAAAGGCGCATTGTTTGTGTTTATAAAGATCCGTGTCATTTATGTAACCTTACAAATATTCCAGAAAACTAGTTTTCGGTACACTTGTATGAATGTTGAAAATAACCTTATATAACTCATGTTCTTTTCACAGCAATGACAAACGTAGATATATTCGAACGTGATACATGGTTGCAGAGGTTTCATGAAACCATACGATATGTGCTGAAGAGCATTAATTAACTGTATAGGCATATAAAACCTCAATTGTTTTGTAATGAAAAGAAATTGACTGTATTTGAACTCATCATAGATACCAGGCTATTTAAGATTATAATACTTAACTTGCCTTTGTCAATATTAAAATAAATAATAACGTTTCTATGTGTCTCAAGCGTCACTGAAGAGACATTAATTGTGGAAATGCGCATCTGTTGCAGTAAAATTAATATTGTCTATGTGGTATAACATAATTAATAAAAAAGAAAGCTATACTCACACATAAAATCAATGTTTCAAAATATCATAGGAAATATAGAATAAGCTCTCGTCTTTTTTCTTATTTATTCAATGTGCTCAAAATTAAGATTTTGATTTTGAATTAATGGGGTCATATATGCTCGAAAGAAGCTTTTCGTTTTCAATTAACTTTGAAATGAGCTTAATGTCCATTGAAATGCCATTACATATCAGATAAGATCACTATATAAAAGTAGCGAATCATGGCTAACAATATATTCAATATCTACCAAATGCTTATATAGCTCTAGCTCCCACAAGGACATAGCTAATCCAGACCATGAATGATTCCAATATCTACCAAATGTTTGAATACTTCTAGCTAGAACTGAGTTAACAAGTTTCAAGGAAATAGGACATTTTTTGTTTGCGTTTGACAATGTTTGAATGATTTTTATTTTTTTACTTGCATATATTGTTTGTTATGTTTTAAACATCACCAATTATAATCTAGAAATAGAGAAGTAATAAAACCGAATGACCTAAAGCAAACGGAAATGTACAATGTATTTATAAAATTTAGATTACAATTCGTATAATAGCTGTAACATGTTTTGCCGTTTTCACCGAAGGCAGGATTCATATAGATAGCACGTGAACAATAATAAAAAAAAACTTCCAGAATTTTCAGCGTGTAAAGATCTTTTCTATTATATCATTTTTCAGACATTTGGAACCAATATGATTTTCACAGAAAGGGCATAATAAAACTGTAGCTCTCTAACAATAACTCTGTATTATTGATACTTATGGCACTTTTGGTAATTGTTTCGATTCCCTCTTCTATATATTTTACGTATTTGTCATTAAAACAATAAAAAGGTTCATTCTGTTAAATATGAATATTTCTTTCCTTAGAAGTACTATTTGGTTTTATTGTTCTAAGACTTTCCTTAGAAGTACTATTTGGTTTTATTGTTCTTAGACTTTCCTTAGAAGTACTATTTGATTGTATTGTTCTAAGACTTTCCTTAGAAGTACCATTTCATTGTATTGTTCTAAGACTTTCCTTAGAAGTACTATTTGATTGTATTGTTCTAAGACTTTCCTTAGAAGTACTATTTGATTGTATTGTTCTACGACTTTCCTTAGAAGTACCATTTGATTGTATTGTTTTAAGACTTTCCTTAGAAGTACCATTTTATTGTATTGTTTTAAGACTTTCCTCAGAAGTACTATTTGATTGTATTGTTCTAAGACTTTCCTTAGAAGTACTATTTGATTGTATTGTTCTAAGACTTTCCTTAGAATTACTATTTGATTGTATTGTTCTAAGACTTTCCTTAGAAGTACTATTTGATTGTATTGTTCTAAGACTTTCCTTAGAAGTACTATTTGATTGTATTGTTTTAAGACTTTTCTTAGAAGTACTATTTGATTGTATTCTTCTAAGACTTTTCTTAGAAGTACTATTTGGTTTTATTGTTCTAAGACTTTTCTCAGAAGTACCATTTGATTGTATTGTTCTAAGACTTTCCCTAGAAGTACTATTTGATTGTATTGTTCTAAGACTTTTCTCAGAAGTACTATTTGGTTGGATTGTTCTAATACTTTCCTTAGAAGTACCATTTGATTGTATTGTTTAAAGACTTTCCTTAGAAGTACCATTTGATTGTATTGTTTTAAGACTTTCATTAGAAGTACTATTTGATTGTATTGTTGTAAGACTTTCCTTAGAAGTACTATTTGATTGTATTGTTCTAAGACTTTCCTTAGAAGTACTATTTGATTGTATTGTTCTAAGACTTTCCTCAGAAGTACTATTTGGTTGTATTGTTCTAAGACTTTCCTTAGAAGTACCATTTGATTGTATTGTTCTAAGACTTTCCTTAGAAGTACTATTTGATTTTATTGTTCTAAGACTTTCCTCAGAAGTACCATTTGAATGTATTGTTCTAGGACTTTCCTTAGAAGTACTATTTGATTGTATTGTTCTGAGACTTTCTTTAGAAGTACTATTTGATTGTATTGTTCTAAGACTTTCCTCAGAAGTACTATTTGGTTGTATTGTTTTAAGACTTTTCTTAGAAGTACCATTTGATTGTATTGTTCTAAGACTTTCCTTAGAAGTACTATTTGATTTTATTGTTCTAAGACTTTCCTCAGAAGTACCATTTGAATGTATTGTTCTAGGACTTTCCTCAGAAGTACCATTTGATGGTATTGTTCTCAGACTTTCCTCAGAAGTACCATTTGATTGTATTGTTCTAAGACTTTCCTTAGAAGTACTATTTGATTGTATTGTTCTAATACTTTCGTTAGAAGTACCATTTGATTTTATTGTTCTAAGACGTTACACTCTCATACAAAACAATACACACAGGAACACACGAATAGTTAAATATATTGATAAACTTAAATGCCAGCTATATATTTAAAAATACGTTGTATGTCAAAGAGAGGCGAACAATAGAAAAGAGACTTTTAATCTTAATTAACTGACAATGCAATGGCTCAAAAAGAAATAAAATTCTAAGATGGCATTATTACTGGTATTGCTCTTTATCGTTAAACATTTGTTCGACTAAACATCTTTCTAAAGTACTGACTACTATTCTTTCTACAGTTAAAGATGGGCTTCAAAAATATTGTGATGAGATATATTTTACCAGTGGTGTTAACCAGATGTGGATTCTCAAAAAGTCGAAAGATCTACTGCTTAATCTTCGATCACAATCTTGGCAATTTTGCAGCAACATAAAGACTTTTGATTTTTCTACGCTTTACACTACTATTTCCCATGCTCAGTTGAAAGATCGACTTCACCATCTCATTGAACAGAGCTTTTTCTATAAAAATGGGAATCGTAGATACAAATTTCTTGTTTTGGGTTACAATAATTCATATTTTGTGAAAAACCACACTGAATCTACCAGAAAATATACTGAAGATGATATTATCAAAATGTTGGACTTTTTTTGACAATATATTTGTTGAGTTTGGAGGATTTATATTTCAACAGACAGTCGGTATTCCAATGGGAACTAATTGTGCACCCCTATTGGCCGATTTGTTTTTGTAGTCGTATGAAGAAGAATTCATTCAGAACCTTCTAAAAGACAAAAAGAAAAAGCACCTTGCGAAATTCTTTAATTTTACTTTCAGATATATTGATGATGTTCTATCATTGAATAACCCATATTTCAGCCAATACTTACATCTCACATATCCCAGTGAACTTGAAATTAAGGATACTACTGATACTAGAAGGACTGCTTCATACCTTGATCTTTTCCTCAATTTTGTCACAGATGGACGACTTCACACGAAAATCTATGATAAACGGGACGATTTCAACTTCCCAATTATCAATTTCCCATTTCTCAGCAGTGACATACCCTCTGCCCCTTCGTATGGTGTTTACATATCTCAATTGATACGTTATTCTCGTGCTTGTTCACACTATACGGACTTCATATACAGGAGTGTGCTGCTTACGCAGAAACTGCTCCAACAAAGTTATGAGGAGGATAGATTAAAAATGACACTCCGTAAATTTTACGGACACCATCACCAATTGGTTGATCCATACGATGTGTCTTTGTCCAAACTAACTAAGGACATTTTTACCACGTGTTAGATTGTGGTTTGTCATTACGTCGTCTGATCTTTTAATTACCGAACGTGACTTATTCCCGATTGTGACTGTTTTTCTGAGGGTGAAACCGCATTGCTATAAGACGTGTCACGGTACTTTTCTATCCCAAATTCATGTATTTAATTTTGATGTTATATTTGTTATCTATTCGGATTTTGTCAAATGTCTTAACGTCTGGTCTGTTATATACGTGTGTTATGGTAAAGATAATTAATCACCTCCTTCATTTATTAGATTTTAGTTTGGTTCAACGAAATTTAGACGATATATTTGGTTTACAGTTTGATTCAGAAGAAACACCGACATAGCTAGATAATACAATTAATTATCTAATTACTACCACAATTTGATATTAATAAGTATTGTAATTTTCATTTTTATTAATATGTAATGTCAGTATTACAGATCTAATCTTGAATCAATCCTAATCCTATCTTATTTTTGGGAAATATTTTTACAAATTAAATTGTGACGACACTTTGTGTGTTTTTTTTAGAATTTCAAATGTGACGTCACTTTGTGCGTTGAGGCTTTGGCTAACTCGGCTGTGTATTTTTATTGGATTAAGTTGTTTTATGTAATGTATCCGTTTTTATTCTGTAGTTAGTCCCCACTTCGGTTTTATCATGTATATCTATTATATAGTCATTTTATAAAATTTACTGTTTGCAAAATTATAAATTATTCTAAATAATAAGGATGTTCTTGTCCCAGGCAGAAAACCCTGGCCGTGTTAGGCGCAACTTTTTGGAAGTTTTTGTCTTCGGTGCTCTTCAGCTTTGTACTTGTTTTGGCTCTCAAACTTTTTTCATGTGAGCGTCACTGGTTAGTCTTATGTGGACGAGACGCACGTCTGGCGTATTGAATTTTAAGCCTTTGTTAGCTATTATTCGTGTGTTTCTTTGTCCTTTATGTTCTCCCATCTATTTGAATTGAGGTCCATTCATGTGATAATGTCGTTTTGGTGTTGTGTTTGACGTTACCATAAAAGCGGGAGGTTTGGCAAGCCACAAAACCAGGTTCAACCCACCATATTTTCTTAAAATGTCCTGTACCAAGTTAGGAAAATGGCCTTTGTTATATTATAGTTCGTTTCTGTGTGTGTTACATTTTAATGTTGTGTTTTTGTTGTGTCGTTGTTCTCCTCTTATATTTGAGGCGTTTCCCTCAGTTTTAGTTGGTAACCCGGATTTGTTTTTATCTCTATCGATTTATGGGTTTCGAACAGCAGTATACTACTGTTGCCTTTAGTTATATATAAAGAAAAATGTATGATAAGGACACTTTTGATTTGCATTGACAAGACCAAGTAGTATACATCTACCAACTTACATTTGTCAGATGTTTAAAAGACACTCGTATGTCAGACATCAATTGGTATATTTTCAATTAGTGAATATTTTTTTCGACACATTAAAAAGAAAAGTACAAAAATGGTTGAGCACAATAATTATTAATCGGTAGCGAATGTGCAGTCACTATTGCCTTATTCTGGCACAAAAAGACGACAGTTAAGTGTTTAAATATGATATGATTTATTGTGTTAATTTTCTAGTAATTGACGTACAATGTATATAATCTGAGATCTTTCAATAATCTTGGTTCTCGCATAATTTAGAGTAAGACAAAAATAAAAAGTAAAATAACAAAAATACCGAACTCCAAGGAAAATTCAGAACGAAAAGTCATTTATATAAACACTATTTAATGTCTACTGTCAAAATTTACAAATTTACGAAAAGATTAAAATAGCAAATATAATATCAACCAACTACCAAATGATCAAAACTGAACATCTGAGAAAACATAATCTATGGATTAGTTGTTTTTACTTTGAAAAAGATTTCAGTATCATTGCGTATGTTGTCTTTACGCAAGGTATTGTATAGGATTAATGTCGATCTCTTGGACTAAGCCTTTTCAAACAAAATGTTACAGTTTGTTCTTATGCGGTAGTGTTACAACATTATCTCATGTAATGTGAGGGTTCGGTGTTCAAAAACTTTTTAAACGCGCCACATTCTTTATAAGCATTCCCATTTAGGAGCTTGTGATTCAATGGTTGTCGTTGTGTACTGTCTGTTATATTTGTTTTCCGTTTAGTGTCTTGTCATAAATCTGGCCATTGTTTTTTTTTTCTATTTAATTGTTACACATTCATATAGCTGACAATTATTTGAAAGCCATACAGTAACCTTTAATTGTTTTAATCCACGTTATTTGACTCTGGTAATTTGTTGTCTCGTTGGCAATCATACCACATCACTTTATCGTTATTCACCAAACGATGGTTTCAAACTCTTATGTAGATACTAGCTAAATACAATAAACCAATGACATTGCATTTCTTTAAGCATAATGTTCTGCAGAATTATTAACTGTAATAATTTTGTTTACTATTGAAAAAAGGTGAAATTTTGTTAACGATCAAGCAACGAATCATCAAATTGTAATCTTCAGTCAGATATAATATTCTTCACTGCGACCCAAGTATGTTGTCCAGAAGTATATCAGGGGAAAATCTATCACATTGGACTTTCAATCATTGATAAACTGCAACTATATATCCATTTATGTCTCTGTCCAACACGTCTATGATTACACTCGACAAAGTTATATCATCCGGAAAACATTCCAGAAATTGTATTAGTAAATTGTATATTCATGATAAAGAAATCAAGGCAGCTTTGATAGATAAAGTGTTGGCTGCCATTTCGTGAAATACATTGTGAGAAACCTGTCGCCGTAGGAATTGTTCAGACAAAATAGAAAAGAAAGTGTCTATTGAAACATAAGTGGTTGTTATCGGTATTTATTCACTGGCTGGAAGAAAGCACTCTAAATAACAATTTCATTTAAATATATATAAAGTAACTTTAGCATTTACCAACCTTTTTCATGCGAAAATTCTTAACATTGAAATTAACAAAAAAATATCTTAGATACGTCTTAATAATTGCAATTATCATTTTACCTTTATGTCCCGTTTCTCGTAATCTAGTTAATTATATATAATTTTTGCTTCGTTCCCGAGGCTACCACCAGCTAATAGTCAGCACTCCTGTGTTGACCTGCAATATCTATGTTATGCAATGTCAACTTACCCTGTAGGAGCTTCCGGTTTCCTTCTGTATTTTTTGCTGTTGCCTTGATTTGTTTCTTCTTAATCGATTTATGAGATTTTTACAACGGTTAACGACTGGTTGAATAGACACAATCATATTATATACTGTCATTATCTATGAAATGTTTAGTTATTGGAAACACTAAGATCGTGTCTACTCTCCGAAATAAACTGCCTTACCCGTATTTGGACTATGTTTTTTTTTAAATTGAAGTTTTCATTGCTTCTTAACCGAGTATTTGATTTAACCTTCACATTGTAAAGAATCGAGCGCCACTCACTTGTCTCGTGTAGTCTAAAACGCGTGTCAGACGAACTAAATTATAAGCTAAGTGTATATGATGAGCTGTTTAACACTTGTGTTCAAACACAGTTTAAGGAAGGGCTTATGTTGCAATCTTTTGTTCTATTATGCTGTTATATAAGTATTTATGTATACACGTTATTCAGTATTGTAAGTCCATTTTTTTCCATTGCAACTCTTATATCATCTCACAGTTTTTATGTCGATTCGGCGAAAGTAGGGTTTGTTTTTCAAGTCCATGTAAATGTATTGTTTTGCAAAGTTGATATCACTCTTACAAGTAAAATTGCATCTTTTATTTCTACAAATGTTTTTCTAATGTAATAATTCAAACCTAATCTTCTTGAAGGCTTCCTCGGCATTAGCTGATCACATATAAGGAACATGTAAATGATTCTAATATCCCTTGTGCTGTAAATCAATTTATTTTCGAGGATAACTATTCCGCGTTTGGACCTTTTCAGCAGTTTTTGTGGCGATTTATTTTCACCAGCTTTATAGATTTTGTAATGCATTTAGCAATTGATTAGATAAGGAAAGACCCATGTTTTATATGTTTGCGGACAATTTCTACTCACGATATCGAAATTTGAGAAATCTATAATGGTTTACAATTTATATGGAATAGAAACCAACAACTGAGACGTACCCCATGATATTTAACTTAAACTACAAATATACGAACACATCAGAATGTCCCACAATACCTGTTTTGATTGATGATTGTTTTAAGGGGTGCATCACATATGACTATTATTTGATATCTTTGGTTTGTGTAAAGAATGAAATAGATTATAATTAATTCAGACGTTTTTGTTTCTGTTTCTGGGAAGTCGACAACAACCATTATACTCATAAATTTCAGTGTTCAGGAGGTTCAAATATTCAAGTACATATATATCAATAGTTTATTATAAATATAACAACTTAAAATCAGTTATATACTGTGTTTCTTGTCTTGAAACATCCTAGTTAACACCAAATTATTCAAGTAAGTTTAGATAACTAAGATTATTACGTTTAAAGAATCCTTAGGTGTCTATTGATCCAGAACAATAACAACAATTTTGTAAATCAGTGTGTTCGACTGATTGAATCATTCAATTTAGATTTAAATGTTGTTGTCTTCGAATTCTAAACTATTCATTACAGAATCATATAAGAAGATAGCAAAGAAAAGTGACTCCTATTCGAATTATTGCATTTGTTGTTATAATTGGTTACAAAGCTATGTATAATTTTGTATTACCAGAATGCAACCTAAAAATATACGCCTAATAAGATTTCAGTTTAAAAAGAAAAAAATGATGATAGAAAATAAAGAAATACATTTGAATATAATAAAAATATATTGAAAAAAAAGGAAAGTAGATTTCAAATGTCACAAGATAATTAATATTGTTTTTTCTTGTCGTTAAAATCTTGACATTTGTACATGCAACGACACATACGAATGATTGTTCTTTGATCACGTACCAATCATTTCAAATTGATCATGTCTTGACGAAACATCAAAGGGCTAAATCAAATCAGATTAACCCATTTGTTTCTTCTATGTACGTGATTAATGAACATCGTTTTCAATTTATCTATCAAAAAACTTGATTTTGATTACAACAGTAAGCATGTACATCTGCATTTAGGCCAATTGCAATGATACACCTAGGGTGTGCTTGTCACGCTGATGCGTAATGAAGTATTGCTAATGCATTATCCTGCTTTGTTGAATTATAGTATTTTAATGTTATAAGATTACTTGTCCTATACTTATCAGGATTCAAGAATCAGGAGTTGGTATGTAACAAAGAGAGAGAAGATACAAAGGGGGAATTAAAGAATCATACGTTAAATAAATACAGACAAGTGCATGGACAAAAATAAAAATAACGAAATTAAAAAATAACAAAACATGACATAACATACTGAAGACTAAGCAACAAGAATCGCACAAAAAATTTGAGCAAACTCAAGTGCTCAAGAATGATAAGCAGTTCCTGCTTGTCATGTGACATAAGCAAAAGTTAAAACGTCTTATGACTACTTTACTACTTACTGTTTCAGATAACCTATCATCTTTTCTAGACTTCGGTTTGGTTCCTGTTGTTCAATCTTCAAATTTTCTCTGTAATGTTTTCTTGGCTTTGATTTTTTCTGTTTATCATTTGACCAAAGCGATTCAATTTTGTTTATTGTTTTTTGATTGTGCAATTATATTTTTGTTGTATCTGTTGCCATTTAAACAAAAATCTTATTTGTACCTTATACATGTTATATTTGATTGTCGAATGCTTTTTATTTCCAGAAACATTTAGCAATTATAACATGTAAAACACAATTGTAACCAATGACAAAACTTAAAAACAAATGGCAATGATGCTTTGTAAAGAACGTAAATTTGATTGCTGGAAGAAATGCTGATTCTACAAATTGTGTGCATGATAACAATTTTCTGTATCAGTGGGAGTAAATTATATTACAATTTGAAACCAGCTTGTTCAACGCAATTTATCAGAATAATAATTAGTTAATATTCCATCTAGAGAATATTTTACAAAATTCATATGATCGTTTTCATAAAGAATAATTGGTTTTCGATACTAATGTACTGCTACGTTTGAAATGTATGTTTGATGTCTTTATATAAAAAAAAATATATTGTGATGTTAATATCCATATTGGAACACATTCAGCTTGGTTCCCGTTTAATACAGTAAGACGGGGGTATCTTTAATTATAATTCTTTAAACACTTAAATTTAGATAAGGTGATTATGAATAACAAATATCATGGGACCAGTTCAAATTGATCTGTCGCTACTACTTCTTGTTAAATGAAACTTAGTTGAATGAATTCGAATATTAAGAAAAAAATTGTGTGACAGATATCAGAATTTGTTTAACGAAAAATAGAAAGATATTTTACAGATGATCAGCCATGTACAGTTGAATTATAATAAATGTAAAACCATAACAGAGAAGATGTGGTCATCACATTCATCAAAGGTTTAACTATTAAATGTTAAAGAAGCAATATCAGGGGAAAACAGGTCAAGGAAATCAGTGGTCTTAATATTATCCCAGTTGCTTTAATATAGATATATCTTAAATAAAACCTTATTACAAAGGTAAAAGATCGGAAATATATCGAGATGGCTTTTAAATATCAGATTTCATTAAAGGACATACATAGACATGACTAACTAAGAAAAACGAATCATAGCTATTGTTTTGAAACGGTACATTCACAAATAGAACCCTCATTCCTTTCAAATGGCAATCATACCATAAGGTACCAGTAGTTAGAAGTTATTGGCAATCATTAAATAAGGGATCAGTAGTTACTTGTTTATTTTGCCCGATGGACTTTCAAACTTTGATAAACTATTATGTATGCATGCGTATTAGGCGAAGTCTTCGCTATTACTTCACAATATCACGTGTTTACCTGAGAAGAAGAAACCTCTATTTCTTTTCATGCACACATGTCTGCGAGACCACTGATTTGGTTTTTCAACATCAATCATAAACAATAAAATTAGTTCTGAAATAACGTGAGGTTAAAAAGTCCGAAAGAAACGAGTGATATTTTGTTAAGTTACAAAAATGGCCCATCACTTGAATTAACATAGCAACACATTTTAAAGTAGTATCACGCCAGTGTCACATTTGGAGTAGGATCTGTTAAAACTATCTTAACATTTGAGATCACCCCCGTTTTTAGTAGGGTTCGTGTTGCTCGGTCTAAAGTTTTATTTGTTGCGTTTTGTGTACTGATTGTTATTTGTCTTTTTGTCATTTTTAGTCATTGTTATGTCAGTGTCAGTTTGCTTTCGACCTTGAGTTTGAAAATCTCTTTGGTAGCTTTTTCCACTCTTTCAGATATGTCGAGTATTTTGGCAAGTACTGTCCAGAAACGTTTTGTTTGATTAAACATACGTTAAATGTTTCACGTTGTATGTGTAAGTACCTTGCACTACTTGTCATACATTATTCTATCAATGTTTTTCAGTTATAGCTCTTCTTTTGAAACGTTATGTTATACAAATAATATTAATAATTAATTGAGAAACTCCCCAAGAAGGCAACAGTAGTATACCGCTATTCGAAAATCATAAATCGATTGAGAAAAAAAAACAAATCCGGGAAACAAACTAAAACTGAGGGAAATACATCAAATATAAGAGGAGAACAACGATACAATAGAAACACAACACTAAAATGCAACACACACAGAAACGAACTATAATATAACAATAGTCATTTTCCTGACTTTGTAGAGGACATTTTAAGAAAAAATGGTGGGTTGAACCTGGTTTTGTGGCTAGCCAAACCTACCGCTTTTATGACAATGTTAAATATAACATTAACATGACAAGCTTACATGACAGGACTACAATACAAATAAATGGGAGAACATACAGGACAGGGACACACACAAATAATAGCTTTCAAAAGTTACCAGGCTTTTTTTATGTACTTTGTATAGAGAGTTTTTATACGCCATTTGTGATTTTCTTTGTTGAAATAGTCATCCAAAGACAGTATCAACAATTGTCTATGCCAACTGATAGCTGAACATGTTTACAAAACCTTTAAAGTAAAAAAATGATTATGATTGTAAATATTGTAAAAGTCACAAGTCGTTGCATGTCAATGTGAAAGCTAACCTTTACAAGTAGAAAATACAATTACGGATTATCATTGTCTTACGATTATCGTTCGACGCTTTTGTTTATAGTTATTTTTACAATTAGTAATAGATAATATTCCTTTATATTGATGATGTGATTTTTTTTTTGCTTTAAGCTT